TCCTTGGTCTCTGCAAAATCCTATGTTGTAAATATGTGCAGTAAAATTGTACCAATCCACGGAAATGTGTTTCCTGGCCAGAGAACGAGCAGTCAAATGTCCCGCAAGCCAAAGAGTTTGACATTTCCCTCTAAAGCTGGCAGACCAAACCGGGGCTAAAGCACCACTGAGTACTTAATTGGGATTCAACAGGTGAACAGAGGACGCTCTAGCGTAGAGGCGATGACAACAAGCATAATTTTTATGTTACAGCACTTTGTTTGGTAGTAAATACGGTTAGCCGCTGCGAGAGTTTCACACTCTTTAGTGCAGGCCTGCCCAAGCATTGTTTATTAGGTTAATAGCTCAGCAGCCACCCATCTGTAACTGATTTATCACAACATGATTATTTCTATGGCTTTTGCAGTCTTTCAGATAGCTTTTTTAACAGGAATGTATTACGCTGTACATTACAGCTGAGCTGACAAGGGCAGTTTGGGACGCTCTTCAAAAAGGTTCCAATGCAAAACGAGTCCGAGTTGGTCAATAACAATAATGGCTCAGAATAGCTGGTTCAGCTGAAGATTCAGTTTGTGGACACTTTCTGAATTGAAATGCCAAAAACACTTTAACGGGATGTGAGTAGTTACAATATAACAAGACTCTTTCCTCCAGGCTTGTTGTTGTATTTCTGTTGAACCAGCTCCAGATTTTTATTTGGGAGCCAGACACCCTCTCTACTTTTAAAACCAGGCTCAAAACTTTCCTTTTTGATAAAGCATGTAGTTAGAGCTGGATCAGGTGACCCCGAACCCTCCCTTAGTTACGCTGCAGGAGCTTCCCATGATGCACTGAGTGTTTGTTCTTCACTCACTAGCGTCTACACACCACTCTGCATTTAATCATTAGTTATTATTCATCTATGGCTCTCTCTCACAGTGTGTCTTTTGTCCTGGCTTCTTCACATCACTCCCAACTGCTCACAAAGATGGCCCCTCCCCTCCCTGAGCCTGGTTCTGTCGGAGGTTTCTTCCTGTTAAAATGGAGTTTCTCCTTCCCACTGTCGCCAAGTCCTTGGTCATTTGATTGTTGTGGTTTTATATTGTGGGGTCTTTATCTTAGACAGTTGTGATTTGGCGCTGTATAAATAAAATTGAGCTGAATTATTTCTGTCCTCCAGTCATTTAAAAAAATATTTTAAGCCAAAGTTGCAATGTGCATCATTATGAATGGTAATGATGAAAAATGCTTTTGTCATCCATTCAAAAAGTAGAGGAAAATGATGTTTGCAGTATTCATACAGCCTAATCCGTGTGTCATAGTTAATTCTCATTTCATTAAATTTTATGAGACTGTGTTATTTATGAGCAGATGCAGCCACAGTCCCAAAACTGCCTAAACAGCAGCAGCTGTGGCCTGCAGTAACCAAATCCAAAAGAGGAGGTGAAGTGGTCCTCATGACCGTTTGGATGGTTTACGCGCAGGACGGTCTGATCCAACAAACCTCTCGACGAATATGACCAAGATGTGGATTCATTTGGTCAATAAAGACACGTCATTCACAAGTGTTCGGTGGCGTGTTCTTCTGTGAATGATCTGGTGTGCGCTTTAACATGAAACTCGAAGGCTGACATGTTGCTAAGTGGCTCTCGTGTGTCAGTATGAAATATATCCAGTTTATTCGGGCTCAGGTGCACTCGGGTTTATATATGCAGCTTCGCCAGTGTGACGCTGGGAGCTGCTGAAAAGTGTTAAATTAATCTTTCTGAGTAAAAAAAGAAAAAAGTTTGTGATTACTGATAACGATAATGACAATTGCTCACTGCAGACATGAATTGTAACCAGTGAAGTGGCAAGACAATCAAATATATTATGACTTGAAACATTAATCTGTGACTGTGTTGCAGCAAGTTTCTCCAGTTTTTGATTACATTTCTCAAAGTGACACATCCACTGTTTTTGCCTACTGAGGAGATGATGAACAGCAGGTTATCTGGAGCTCAGCGTGATGGTTGCCTCTCTGCAGATATCCTGATTGGTGCGTGTTTTTCTGCACACAGAGGGAGATGACTTCACAGCCTGCTAGACAACTCTTGGTGTATTTAAAACAGCAACTTCCCTCTAAAGTAGAGTCAGTTCCCCTCAAATCGACTCAGTCTCTTAATTCATACACGCAACATATTATTATTGATGTATTCGGTTCAAGCAGGCACTGGTTGTATCTGTCAAAACATATAAAAAATAATAATAATAATAATAAAAGAGGGATGTTGGAGTCAGACGTTGGGGAGTCTGTTGAGAAAACGGGCTATGGCCTACTATGACAGCAGACCCAATGAAAGAGGTTACACACAACAAAGCCCAACGTCAACACTGACCAAGAACCAACTGGCTTTAAAATCAGTAACACAAAGGGAACAATTCTGAGAGGTGTGGACACAATGAGCTGACCCTGGCAGAGGAGAGCAGTGTTAAAGACCTAGATGATGCTCAGACACCTGCAATATCTGATACTTCCCTCCAGCTGAGGATGAAAACTGCTGTGGCCGTGGCTTCTGTGTAAACTGTCACTTTGTTGCACTGTCCACTGTGATATACCGAACTACTTTGTTGCTGTCTCTCCTACATTTACTGAGACATTTTTAATTCTGCTTTATCGTCTATGATGAATTTTTATATATATCGCTACTCCACAACTGTGTTGCATTTAAGCTATTTGTCGTGACACACAATAAGACTGACCTATGAATCATTCAAGCATAAAAAAAAGGACGTAACTCAAGGGATGAATCGGCATCGTGTCCACAGATAACAGAAAACTTAGCAAAGAACCAGCTTTGATTTTAGTCTCTTCAGGCATTTTGTTACTAGCAGCCTGTTACAAAAACACAATGTGTTCCCATTTCTTTTGTTGAAAGTGCAACAATGCCAATAATCACACTTTGACAGGCATAAAAATAGTGTTTTGCACTCACAAGGTGATTCCCAAAGAGCTATTAATCGAAAACCTGGAATATCTCGGCATGCTTGGTAGGGTGTCGTAAAGTATTTCAGAAAACTGGACGAAACAAAGTTGAGTACGAAACAAGGAGCAACAGACCAAAAAATTCAAACTTCATCTACAAAACTTGAACAGTATCTGAAAGTCACGTCCTTAAGAAACAGGAGAGAATCCAGCAAAGACTCAACACGAGATCTCAGAGGTGTATCTGGTCCTTCCATTGATCCATCTACTGTTCGCATCCACCACTCTACTCCTCATTGAAATGGTGGATGTTGAGAAACCATTCATAAGAAATGGAAACAGGGAAAAGGGTGAGGTATGCCAAATTACACAAGAACTGGACTGAAGCTCAGTGACTCATCACTGCAAGCAGTAAAACATGGTGTTATTTGTGTTTATATTACACAAATAAATTCTTAATATTGTATATAAATTTGAATATCATGTTATATAACATGCAGTAATATAACCATAAAGATGTATGATAAACATAATGAAAACTAAATGGAAAATGGCAGTGTGCTCTGTTAAGGTGTATGTCATACACCTTAACAGAGGTGTATGACATACACCTTATGTCATACACAAGGTGTATGTCATAACCCTAACCCTAACCCTAAACAGCTGAATTTGAACAAAATCACAACTAAAGAAGAGACACGTAACTCCGATTCTCCATTTGTGGCTTATTTAAAATTAGATATCTTGATTAAAAAAAGTGACCCACTGGATATAATATAATATAATATAATATAATATAATATAATATAAAAGCTTTTATGAAGGGTTATGCTATAACCATTTTACTGCTTTTTCCTATAATAATCCTGTACTTTCACATTGAAGGTAATAGTGTGTCCAGTAATAAATCCATGTGTTACACTAAAATACACTAACGTCCAGTGGTGCTACCATAAAATCTCTGTATATTCCCATAGTGCCTGCAGTCATGAGTAATATATCAGTCACGGCTGAGGCTGCTCTCACTTGTACATTAGAGCACTGCTGACATCTTGTGGTTAGACAGGCATCAGGGTTTTGTTTGTTTGTTTCTGTCACAATAAAAAGGAATTTGTCACCACTGACATTAACATCAAACTGCATCATTTTGTATACTTTTTTTCCATTTCAAGTTAAATTTGAAGGCACAATACTCATCTGGAAGGAGAAAGCATGGCTTACATCCACATCCAGTAAGCTATTGTTAACTCATTTTGACTTTATCACATATTTATGTTATTCCTTAATGTTTATGAATATGTGCTGTAGGAATTCCCCACCTTTGGGACAAATAAAAGTTGCTATATTTTATCTACTGTCACAGTCAGACAAGAGAGGTATAAAGCTGGGAAAGTTATTTTAAAGACAGTGCAGCCTAAGGTATTTCTACTGTCCCAGCAAGCCAAATGTAATTATTTCATATTGGAATATAATTTTGCTTTTCAATTGCATTAAAATACGCATCTGTCTGGGTTTAATTTTAATTCCTTTAGTTAACGTGTCGTCTCCAATTATGTTGTGCATGTCACAGTTTAACAGTTTCTCAGTGCTGTATCTGGGTTTTGTCTTAAAGCAAACTAGTGTAGTCATGGAAAGACTACTAAAAGTCATTTTTTAAAGTGCAGTGCAGATGCTGGAGGATGCCGAATTGCAGCAATGGCTCCCATATTTATGTAATCCTTCCATTTAATACAAGGGAAGTGAAAAACACTGAATGACTTTCAGTACCTAAAGTTTGTAAATGAATTTTGCTACTATTGTTCTGTAGTTCTGAAGTTATAATGCAGCGCATTCGGGGCGTTATGTCGTTCAGGTAAAACTTCCTTTAAGGTGTTTCATCTTCTGTCCTGATGATCCAGCTGTTGCAGGACATTTAGCACAGATTCAGTAACGCCATGATCAGATCCTTAGACTAGCCAATAGGAAAACACAACAACCCTGCCGTGATGAGAAACTCGTCGCTCATTGGTGAACCTTCGTGTGACGTTTTGGGAAACTAGCTGTTAATTGGTCGTCTGCCCGACTTTAGTTGAGTGAGCCTCCCTCCATCGTTGTTCCGGGATACCTGCAACCAAGAAAAGGTACAGTGCTATTTACATGGCTGTAACTTTATATTAATAGTGTGACACTCCAGGTTAGTTGTATTTAAACCCGATGAAGTCTTTTTGGAGTCCCTTTAGTGAAGCCAAATTCTGCAAAAAAACGGGGTTTCTACGCATAACGAGTAGTTATTGTCATGTTTTTGCGTTCATGTATGTGTTTTGCAAAACTTTTCAGTGTACATCCATCCAGCCTTCATTTTTCATGTTTCAAATACCCATTTTTAATTTTCTTAGAGGAAAGTGAGCGATGTGGAGCTGTGACGAAATACTTTACGCGTTTCGGTTGAAACGGAAACGGTAATGTTAAAGACGGACAATGCAAATGCTTATTCGGTTTTTGTGATTGTTACAAACTCCGGTCTCTTTCACTTACCGTTATGTGTATGTGACAGTTAGGCTATGTTATCTGATCTAACCGGTTCAGGAAAGTGATCAAAGAAAGGCGGCCGATGGCAGCTTGGTGTCGGTAAATGCCACCGTCAGGTGTTTCTTTTGGTGGAATTCCAACTATGAGTCTGATTTACACGCCTGATGGGCACCTGCCGTTAAGTCTATGGGAGAAATGCAAACTGCAAATAAGGTGGTAAAAGTACCACTTTCAGATGGGGGGGAAATTAAAGCCTTATTTATGAATTTAAGAGTTTAAGCGTTTTTTCATAAATGTGATTTTATACATGCACTTTTTAAAAAATCCACTAAAATAAAGTTTAAGTTGGATAATGACACAAAGGAAGTGCCAGGAGGCCTTCCAAGATGACTGCATCTTGGCTACATCTGTCTGATATTTATTGGAAAACTAGTTATGAAATTCCTGAGCTGCCAGACTAACTAGTGCTGTGGTTGCTCTAACATTTCCAAAAAAAACATGTAACCCAACTACGAGGAAGACAACAGTAACTCAGCAGTCTGTGACTTTAAGCCCATTTGTTTGCCTACATTGCCAGTTAAAACTGAACCTAGAGGAGTAGCAGGTTTGGTGTTAAATTTGAATATGTTCAGTTGGCAGCCAAGGGTGGCCTATCAGCAGCATTAAGCAGGAGGTGTTGATGGGAAAACCACCAACTCACTACCTGGCAGCAACAGCACGCCACTGTATGAATCACCATATGTTACTGAACCAGGAGTGGCATACAGTCTGTGACTTTTCCATCTCTGCATCACTCTATGATGGCAACGGCTGTAAAATTTAGAAGCTATGAAAATGAGCAGTGGAGGTGGAGGTTCGGGCACTCGGCTAGGAACTTTCTGTGCACCTTCCATTGGATATTTTATGGGCAACTGGGAAGAAGGATTTGTGGAATGCCTCA